GTCTCGATGCTCAAGAGGTATCACCTGATCTTTCTCATGTTATTCCTCGCGATGAGATGCAAGTACAAGCCGATATGACCTATGAGATGCGTGTCAGTGAGGCATCCGTGTTTCACTTCGTACACGGATAGGCCCTGTGCATAGTAAGCCTATGAGCGCAGCGCCCAGCGCGCCTTGGTCCTGCGCACGTGGTAATAGGCCTGTGCGCTTGCAGGCTAGCCTGTAGCATGCCAGCTAGAGCACTGCCACCTTAGGCAATGCACCGCCCCTACCTTAGGCGACGGGCCACCACTACCGGTAAAGGAGATCCTCCTCCCTCATTTTTCATATCAAGCATCTTTTTCTCTTCTCTCTTCACTGAATTTTGCCACTTATCGTGAATCCAATGATTCTGAAATTCTAGAAATTGTCTTCCTCCTTTCCTTCCTCTCCACACTACTATTTCTTCTATTTTTAAAAGGTTTAGAGAGAGAGATAGTAGATTAGTGAAAGAAAAAGAGAAAGAAAGAAAAACAATAAAGAAGAAATCATCGAGGTTCGGTAAGAAATATTTTATTACTTTCAATGTCTTAAGGAGTATTTTAGATAAACAAATTTTAATGTGATTGTTATTTTGCCTATTTTGTATGCCTCTGTATTCAAATGAGTTGAATTGTTCTAGTTTTCAAGCATGCTATATGAATTACAGACACTTGATAAATTTACATGTAATAAATATAATATGTAATCGATAACGGTAAAAGTAAAAAGCATAAAAGAAAAGAAAAAAGAAAGAGAAAAGTGGAATGAAGCATGTATGGTCCAAAGTATATATGTATTGACATGCATATTGTATCAAGTGTCTCGTTAGGCTTGCTATCTCTAAGGGGTATCTATTCTCCTTACCCTTCGGAGTATCTATTTTCTCCTCCCCTATCTGGTCTGAAAAGATGTAAGAAAACTACTCCTAGTGAATGACGGTGTACCTTCTGACGAGAGTGGTATCGCACTATCTGTAGGGGTCATCCATAGTTAAGTAATATTGTGACTATATATATTTGTTAGGACCACTATGATTGGTACGACCGTGGTCATAGATCGTACCATGGTTTAGCCAACTGGAAGTGGGCTTGAGCAAATTATCGTATCTGTATCTAATCTATTCATTCCACTTAGGTAGTTGGTATTGTATCAAGTATCTTGTTAGGCTTGTTATCTCTAAGGGGTATCTATTCCCTTTACCCTTCGGGGTATCTATTTTCTCCTCCCCTATCTAGTCTGAAAAGACATAAGAAAATTGCTCCTAGCGGATGACGGTGTACCATCTGACGAGAGTGGTATCGCACTATCTATACGGGTCACCCATGATTAAGTAATATTATGACTATAGATATTTGTTATGACCACTATGATTAGTATGACCGTAGTCATAGATTGTACTATGGTTTAGCCAGCTGGAAGTGGGCCTGAGCAAATTTTCGTATCTGTATCTAATATAGTCATTCCACTTAGATTGTTGGAAATCTGTATCTGCCTTCAGAGATGGAAGTTTGTAAAGACTTCGCAAAGCATGACACAAAAAATATGTGCATTTCATGATTTATTTGATTTTCTCTATTATCTGACATGAATTGTATATTTGATTTTCTATGCTAACGTATCATTTTATTAACAAATAAATAATTTTCATAATGGTGAGATAGGTAAACGAGGAAGTTAAATGGTAAGATAAAATAATAAACTTTTGGAATCTTACAATATTAATTTAATACTATTTTTCTTACTGAGCATATGGAACTCATTCTTTCCATACCCCTCCCAGATGAGGAAGAAAATGAGGAACCGCAACCAGACCTACCCTTGGAAGTCTATGAGGATCCCGTGGATCTATAAGTATGAGTGCATGACCATTCCCACACTCTGATGAATCCAATAGCATAGTAAAAGAAGTGACCCTTATGTTTTGTATTTTGTAGCCACTTCTGGCCTCAGTTTATGTATGTATTTGGAACATTATATATATTTATAAGGGATTTATTATGGTTTGATTCCGCTGCATAAATTTTATCATGCACTCGTTATTTTGAATCTGTATCTGACACCCATTTACTTTAATTAGCACTTAGGATGTTACAAATGAACTGCACAATTGAGTTTACTGATCAGAGAATCGGATCTTTCTAGTTTTTAATGTTGTTAGTGAAATTAAACTCTAAGAGCGTCTCTAGGGTTGTTCATTAGTAAGGGTTAATCAACGACCATCTTTTGGTTAATTTAAAATTAAGAAAAGAATAGTTATTATGAGCATCTCCAACAACTAAAACCGATTTATTGAAAATTGATGAGAGTTATCTTTGCATCAATAATCAATCATATGAATTAAAACTAATATTATTTTTCTAACTATAATTTATTTATAATTGATTCTTACTTCATTTAATCTGTTGAATTATTTTATGCTAATTTCACTTCAATTTAATTTTTATTTTATTTTATTTGTCGATTTAGATTTTTTTGATTTATTTTTGGTAATTAATTATTTAATTTCAACTCAAACCAAAAACCCTTCTCTTTTTATTTTTATTTTACTGCTGGTCGTAAAAGAATATTAGAATTCAATTCTTTGTGGATTTGACCATATTCACTACTACTATAATTTAATTTATTGTTAGAATATGAATTTATCTTTAGTAGATTCGACACTCATTATTTAACCAAATGCTCTAATACTGTATTGAGAAAGATTTTTTATAGATTTATTTTCTGTTGAACATTATAATTCTATATATTCAAGTTTTCCAAGACGAAAAAGGAAATAGACAATTAATTTATAAATTATGTAATTTTCTCCTTTAACTTCATTTGGTTCCTCTTTAATACTCAGATTTATTTTTTTCTAACATCTTAATTTACTCACTCTTTAATATTATAATTTTCTTTCTCTTTAACACCCTAATTTACTTCTTCATTAATATCATGATTTTCTTCATCTTTAATATTTATATATAGATAATTAAATTATGGCATAATGAATAAAATTATAATAAAAAGCGTTGCTTTTAGGGCTACTAACTCATTAGTGTATTAAATTAATTATATAAGTTGTAAGAAAAAAATTCATAATTTTAGTTGTCTCAAACATGATTGGTTTCTTAGTTTATATTATTAAGTCAGTCAATAAGTTAATTGATTTTGAAACTTTTTTGACAAAGTGACTAAACCAAATCGATACTCTTTTTTACTCATGATATTGCTTGTTTAATAGTCTGAGGTGCTTTCTCTGATTAAATAAAAGTGACATTAATAGGGCCCATAAAATTAACTTTGTCTTCAAGATCTCCTTCAAAAGGTTCAAGGGTATATTGCCTCCAACAATTTTTAGAGCAACTCCTTATTTTTTATATATGAGATATGCATTTAATATTATTCCTTACTTGCATAATGTGAGAGAAACATCGAATTTGAGGTTGTCACCATTAATAATGTCATTTGATATGGTGAGAACAATGTTATAGTTACCAAAAAGAAATGTTTTGTTCTTCAAAACACATAGTGAGTTATAAAGTTCATGCATTGAGAAATATGGATCAGCGTATACTACACTATGAAAGGACTTAGAGCTTAATGTTTGAGGTCTAACATAAGCAGAAGTAGGACATGCATTGGTTGCGTGCTTTTATTAACAAATGGTATGCAAAAATGAAATCATCAGGACTTAAAAGGAAAACTTTCGAGCAAAGAACAAACGAGATGGAATCCAGGTTAAAGGAATTAAAGTTTGGTTTATTAGGTGCCGAAATGTAAGCTTATGAATATGAATCAAAAGCTGATTTTTTTTCTTAAAGATGTTTAAGTTTATATATGGAAAGATTGTGGCCCTTTTTTGAGGAGACTTGTGTGTTGGTGTAAAAAATGGCTCATTTTTACTTGAAAACAAGTTGTAAACACTATTCAAATGACTTTAAAGAGATAAGATGTCTTAGATATTGAGAGGTAGATATTCAACTAAAGAACTCTTGTTCTTCAAAAGATGGTCAATATGTAAGATGAAATTTACTAGTTGACCTTATTAAAATGTAGAGCTCTTAAGAAGAGTTTGAGATAGGTTAGGAGTCTGTATAATTAGACCTAACATAAGTAACGAGCATATTATAGAGGAACTATGGTAGTCAAGTTGATATAATAAGGAACTGACAAATTTACATTATTTAAATATTGAGTTATTTTATTACATGTCATGCCCATGATGATCTAGTGCTCTCAAATAAGGTCATGGTGGAATCTGGGACATCAGAGCAGAAGAAACAAGTCACTTCAATAATGAGGAAGTCATAAGAGATGATGTAAGTGAAGATAATAAAGTTTTTCTACAAGTTTCAACAAAAGATATTCACAACTCTATTAAAGGTATTTAAAATTTTACTCTTATGTAATAAATAATTTTGTAGCATTAAAAAAATATGCGTAAGAGGTAATAATTTATGTGTATATATATAATGAAGTTTGAATACTCACAAATACAAAACCTTTTGTATTACACTTTTTGATTTTAGTTATTGTAATGCAACATTAAACCTTTTTTCATGAGATAAAAGCATAAAAAAAGAAAAAGAAAGAATAAGTATTGAATATATGTTATTTGGAGTAAATTATTATTTAATTTTTAAACTATTTGCTATAATACAATTAGTTTCTAAAAGTTTTTTATTTACAATTTAATTCTTAAATTTATAAAAATATTTTAATATACTATAAATTTTTTAATAAAAAATAATATAATTTTTTATTTTACTCATATTTTATTATCAGTAAAATTTAAAAATTATAGGGACAAAAAGTCAATAACTTAATATCAATGATAATAATAGATATTAAATAAGATAAAGGAAAGGTAATATTATTTTTATTATAAAAAAAAAAATGTTTTTAGGGTTATTTTTATGGCTTCTAATTAAAAACTTCTATTTTGTTAGTAATTTGTTGGAAATATTTTAAAGTAATAACTAAATTAGGAATTTAGTTTTGTTTTTGTAATGGAAAAAAAGGAATCTTGAGCTTGAATTGAGAGTGAAGAGCCGGGATATTGCAAGAATCTGATGAGGCAATGTCCTAAAATCTAAACAAATCGAATAGAAAAATTCCGAATAAATCATATTCTGGAGCCGAGACGAGCTTAAGAAGATCAGAGATGCACTCACACACTTTCATGGACAAGCAAATCCCTGAGCTTTCAAAATCTCAAACAGGCGATTTCCATGGCTTCACTCCCTCTCCATACGAAGATGAATCTGAAGATGAAGATCGCTCCTTTCATTTTCATCCAGTTCATCATCGTTACTCTCGGGAGAGAATTCCCGATTCTATCCACCTCGCAGTATGCTCTTTCTCTATTGTGATCGAAGTTCTCGTTTCACTATTTCATGAAAGCGACGGTTTTATTGAAACTCTTTGTGAGTTTTATTCTTCATTGGAGGGATTAACTTTCTGGTTTAAAGTGGATGATTGATTGAGATTCCTGTTTGAACCTATAGTTATCGGTTTCAGTGGATTCTTACTTCGGTTTCAGTTTTACTAGTTGGCTTATCCTATCAAGTCAGCAGTAACCAACAACTTAGAGTTTTTACGAGTTTCTTCTTTTAATTTTTGCGCGCACTTTACTGCAGTTACTAATATTCATCCTTATTGCATTATATCATTTGCGTGGTTGCTTGATCGTGTTTGATTGAAAAGGTGCTTGCATTGGTAACATACAGGGGTGGGGTTCCACGGATCGCTGTGATTCTTCCAATGAGAAGGTCGAGACTCGCTACCATGCTGGATTGATTTCCGCTATCAATTGGAAGATAAAGGAACACGTTGACAATGTCCTCCTTGCCGCGGAAGGCATCAGTGCAAGACTATTTTAGTTGGAGAGTAGAACAAAACGAACTGATAATTCTGTTGATGACTTGAGGGACTCTATTGAATATAATAATGGGAGAACAGATGCAAAACTCAGGGAGATTGAGAATTTTCTGGCAGAGGTAATCTTTTCAATCTCAATTTTTCGGGCTTTGCCAGTTAGTTGAAACTAATATGAACTAACCTTGCATTCTTCTATTAAGAGGCTAAGGTGTTCTGATTTATTTTATTTTTTGAGAAGTAATAAGATTTTAGAATAACATCAAGTGACCTAAAGGCATGTAAAATATACATAATTCCGTTGCTTCAAAACTGATAAGAGCCATATAGAAATCACTCCTTCACAACCAAAACTAAACAAAGCTGGACTGCCATTCACAGAAGGAAAACTCCAACGTTAATTCCATACACAAAGGGGATCAATTGTCGTATATGAAGCCTTGACAAACCAAAGCTCATAGTAGACCTGTCAGAGGAGACCGTAAGAAACAGTTTCTTATTGCTATTGTTAGAAACTTTAGAAAACAGCTTGTGAAGGTTTGTGGAAAAAAATGCAAATGATTTGCTGTAAGCTTGAATGTAGTAAATTGATTGTAAGGTGGTCTTCCCTTAGGACCTTAAGTGATTTTTTAGTTTGCATTTAGCTCTCATTATTTGCTAGGTGTTGCCCTGTACTCTTTGGTGATACTTTGCTCTCGTATTGGCATTTATCAACTTTTCCTTTTAGTCTTCTATTAGCAGATGCATTCCATTTAACTCTCCACATTAAGTGTTCCATTTCCCTTTTTCTTTACCATATATATTTAGAGATTGTTTAGTTTGTTTCTCTTTACATTTCTTGTCAACTTCTATACTTAAATATTAGTATCGATAAATAGAATTACATATTTTTATATTTGAGCTATCTTCACATGTTTGGGTCTATAATTTTGGGTCATGACATTTATAAATTGGAGGATTTTGGAAATATCATTGATACACTAATTGAATTGCAAATATCTTGTGCATGAGTGTCACTCCCTTGGTGCTTTTACTTAATACTATTTATTCTTTTTATTTAAAAAAAAATATTTGAACTACTTCACATCTACATTGAATTTCTTAGTAGTGGAACTTTCAAATTCTACTTCACAGAATAGGAATTGGATAAAACAGGACTATTCATGTTTGAGTTTATAGGTTCTGCTTCTTATCTCTCAAGGAAAAAAACACTGCGGTCCTTTTTTTCTGGAAAAGTGTCATATAAGGCCTAATAAGTCAAATATGGTTGAAGAAGAAACAGTCAAAGTTTATTCTTTTTGTGGACAAGTTGACAAGAGTTTTACACGTGGGAAAAAGAAGAGTTACCAAGTCAATGAGTGAAGACTATTCAGATAGGTTTCCATGGAAGAATTTTTGTTTGTTTTTTCTTTGGCCTAGTCTTATGCTATTGTTAGTTTTCTCTATGTTCAGTTATCCAGTGGTTTACTTCAGTTTTTATCTTTCGGTTTATGCAACTGTAGAATAACTGCTTAGTGGGCAGTTAATTCTGTTGCTGATGATAAAAACGCAGTTCAGAAATGGGTTAAGAATTTGTTCAGTTAAGTTGGGGTTTTCTTCTAAACTCTAAGATCTTAGGGTTCTCTTTAAGAAGCCCTTAATTCTGCCACGATAGGAAGAAAGGAAGAAAAGTTATGAAAAGTTTTTGTCCTCTCTTAGATTGTCCTATTTCTAGACACATAACTTGATCCTTAAGTAGGGAATCTAACACTAACCTATTTTATGACATGAAATCTCCCAAACTTTGTAGAAGGTCAGGATCATGGTTGCCTTAAGTCTAGTTGTTGGACTATGTGGATTAAAGTCAGACAAGGAAGTACCAGAAAACTTCTGGTTTTTTCTTCCTTTCTGAGCTATGGTGATTGAATTCTTGGGCTTGTTGGTGAACCCAAAGATTTCCAAGAACCTACTTGAATAATTCTGTTAAGGGCCTGAGCATTATACCCTTTGCGAAGGTCTATGGAAGGAGGAAATAGACGGTGTCTAAGTTTGAGTAATTTATCTCTAGTTTTCAGTGTCTATTTAATGTCTTTTATGTATTGGTATGTGTCTTATGATTACGTTTTGGTAAGTCTAGAAGAAGATAAGATGGAGTTATTCCTAAGTTTAAGGGACACAAAAATCAGAAAACTTCCCTATCTTCTCCTATCTCTTATATATTAAATTCTAGATTGGGTGAATAGATGGGTTATGGAAGAATATTATTTAAAATTATTAAGTAAGAACAGAGAGTTTTGAGTTCTCCCTTAACAAGCCAAGAATAATTGTTCAACACAGGTAAAGGAAGGAAAACAAAGAAGAATTCTTTCTCTATTGACAGATTACTATGATCCTAGACCCAAACTAGATCCATCTGTAGGTTGTTTATCAATTTGGTACAAGAGTCAATAGTTATGGGTAGTTTACGTTCAATGTTTGAGTTATTCCTAAAGATTTGGAAGACTGTGAATATCAAGGCACTGGCTCATTTATGTCTCAGCCAATCTGATTAAAGTGGTTATTGAAGGGAAAAAGAAGGAAGTGCGATGGGCAGAGAAGTGACGTTGTTTTTTTTTTTTTTGGAGATGAAATTTATGGCGTGATTCATCCCTTCACAAGTATCAAGGGGGTGCCACACACCTCAAAACCATCAACGCAAGAGAACGTTTAGAACTCACAAGAAAATTCATCACCAGAAGATAACGTTTCGAGCCCACTCAAAAATTTCATCACCACAAGGAAACCTTCAAAACCCATGATCTCAAAAAAATCATACTACACCTAGGTTTTCTCAGGTGAATACAAGAAAGAAGATATCAAGTATTGAGCTATAGTTAGTCCAAGAATTTAACTTTGATCTTGGAACTAAGGTAGGTCCCAGAAAATTTATACAATTTTCGATAATGATATATCAATTGTACTCTCCAAAGATACAAGAGAATAAACACTATCTATATTCTATCTCGCAATGTATGTCATTTAATAAATATTTATTGACCCATAAAAATTTCCTTACAAGTAAGTAATAAGTATATATTTAAAACATTTTCTGAGACAATATCCTATGAAAAATAGAAAAATGTTATGAGTATGGTAATTGAGGCACGTGAAAGAACCAGACTTGGGGAGTAATGAATCTATCTAAAGGTAAAAAATAGTGGATACAAATGAGTTTTTTCAATAAAATATAAAGTAGATGAGACAATTGAGAGGGAAAAAGTGAGACTAGTTGATGTGAGCATGGACCATGAACATGAAAAACAAGTCATTCTAACTTTTTATCCAATAATGGATCGATAAGGAGGATGAGTTTGAATCAAGTGAAGACGCCCAAGAGAACAATAAAACAAGTCCATTAACCCAAGGGTATAATAGTCCTTACAATTCAATCCAAGTGGAAGAAGGAATCAAGCAAGAAAAGGCAAGTGAATTCGACAATAAAGGAGAGATCTTCCAAACTGTGAAAAGGAAAAACTTTTTAAAGAACCAAATATCGACTGAAAAAGAAATATTTTAGTGGCTATAATGCTCCTTTAATGACCAGCTCTAAACTTCCATTTAGTCTCCCTCTAATTCAAGTTTCAATTAATAAAATTATAAAGTTTATTTCAACTAGTGATGTATTTTCAACCTTTTTGTTGAGTAATAAGTTGAATCAACTTATTAAGGTATCCTTTGTGGTGTTTTTTCTATTTCTATTCTTTTAATTTTCCAATGATTTTAGTTTCTATTACTTTATTGATAACGGGATAAGTAAGAATGATTTTTATAGGATTTAAGTATTTGATGTTTTATGAGAATTATGTGAGTTCTGAATTGCATTGTTTATCGCGAATTCCCATCAGTAGTGGCAAAACCTTATACTCAAAACATATGAGATAGATTTTCAGGATATTCGTACCAATGGGCAAGATGAACATTGTGCGAATTTTATTATTATCAGCTGCCTACTTTGACTGGTGGTTACAATAGTGTGATATTAAAAATACCTTTTTATATGGAGATTTAGAAGAAGAAATCTACATAGATATCCCACTAGGCTTTGATGGAAAAGCAGAAGCAGATGAGGTATGTAAACTAAAAAAAAATTATTGTATGGACTCAAATAGTCACTAAGGCATGGTTTGAAAGGTTCACAAAGATGATGATAGATATGATATTTGAGCAAGCTTAAAGAGATCACACTCTATTGATCAAACACAGAAAAATAGAGGGAGTTACAGCTCTCTCAATATACGTTGATGACATTATTATAATAGAAAATTATGAGAATGAACAATTAATATTAAGACACTGCCTAATAAAAGAATTCAAAATCAAAGAACTAAGTAAGTTAAAGTATTTTTTGGAAAATGAAGTTGTTTGCTCTAAATCTAGAATTTTTATTTCTTAACAAAAGTACCTTAATGATTTGTTAAAGGACACACAAACTAACCTATTGATCCTAATTGCAAATTAGGAATGATAGAGGAAGATACACCAATGAATAATGAAATAGTCAAAGATTAGTTTGGAGGTTGATCTATCTATTCAACGCGAAATCAGACATTGTCTATGTAATAAGTGTTATAAATCAATTCATGCATAATCTGAGAGAAGTACACATACAAACAACTTACAAAATATTACGATACTTAAAAGGATCAAAGAGAAAAGAATTACATAAAAAAGAATCACAAATTGTTTTTACAAGTCTATACTGATACAGATTGTACAAGGTCAGTTTTAAACAGAAGACCTACTACAAACTATTGTAACTTTCTTGGTAGTAATCTAATCACTTAGAGAAGTATGAAACAAAATGTAGTTGCGAGATAAAGTGGGGAATCAGGATTCCGAGCAGTGGTATAAGAGGTATGTGAATAATTATGAATAAAAAGAATTTTAGAAGATTTTAGAATCGAGTGGGAAAATCTTATGCGTCTATATTATGACAACAAGTTGGCCATAAATACTAAAGGTGCAAGTATGTTAACTAAAGGTCCAGTGCAACACGACTAGACCAAACACATTGAGATCAACAAATATTTTATCAAAGAAAAACTTGACAGTGACTTAGTATGTATATAACATATGCCCACTAATTCTCAACATGCAGACATGT